CAGTACCACCATCACCTCCCCAAAACCCCCAAAACCATCGAAAGATGAACAACTATTGCCCATCCAAAAAAAAAAAAAATCACTGTCGCTGTAGCAATGATCTGCACCATCACTACTACGATATGTGCCACTGCAAATCGTGAGTGCAGTCATAATCTGTGCCATCACGATCTACAGCCGCAATTTACAAGCCTCCACTAATTCTCACAAAGAACGAATGACTTTACCCGCGATTTGTAGAGCCTCCAATGATCTGGGCTTCCAGCTATTCTACTATCACCTACAACGATGCATCTGCTACCACTAATTTCACAAGAAGCAACGCCAACCATAGTCACACCTCACTTGTATAGCTGCACAGCGCTTGAGTAGCGCTCGTAGCATCGCTTCCCGTCATTTTACTGTTGTGTAGTGTAGGTACCTAGGAACGTTTAAAAATATCGAAAAATCGCAAAGCTAAAATCAAGATTTGTAGATCTGAACGAAACAGTAAAAAACACAAACGATTTTTCGATCGAAGCCCCGAGGTTCAGCGATTGGTTAGATCGCCTAGTCCCCGTTGAGCATCCATGAAAGAATAAGCTCGAATCCACTAAATCACCGGCCTAAAATACAGCAATTTTTCGAGTTACAAACGAAACACACAGTTCTAGCCACAGCAACAATAAAATCGCCTCAGCAACACGATGAACTCACACAAGAGTTCATTAGATCACACTTTCTCTCAACCAACAACAGAAGATCGACAAGATCTAAGAGGAGAGAACCAAAAATTACAGAGAGAATTTCTAAACTCAAAAGAAGCTGCGTGTAAAATGAAAAAGCCCCAAACCTTAGACTTTTCAGCTTCTTTTATATGGGGGAAGCTAATTGTTTTATCTAATGGTTCAGCAGTCGCCACATGTCGAAATCTGGTGAAAGTTGTTATTATACAACAGAAAAATGCGTTTTGTTTTAATTTAATTTCAGCTTCCAGATTCTTCTGTCTTCTGGGCCATTAAATCGGGTCATGGGTTGGGCAACCCAATTTCTACATTCTCCACCTTTGCTGTCTTTTGTGCCTGCTCTTTTGTGGACTCAAAACTTATCTCTATTTCATTTTTTCTTATTACCTGTAAAAAAAACAAAATAATGAAAATCAATCTTCTTCAAGATTAATTAATCTTAAAGAATCAACAAACTTACTAATAGGGATTACCTTGATTCATTCATCTGTTGGATTTATCTTAGTAGGCATTTTGATCAATCTAATATCACCCATATTAATGATATCTCTAATAAAATGAAACTTTACATCTATTTACTTGGATCTATCATGCAAAATAGGATTTTTACTCAGAAAAATAACACTTTGGTTGTCTGAACACATCTCCACTTGATTTTCTATAAGTCCTAATTCATTAAGTAAACCCTTCAACCATAAACCCTCTTTAACTGCTTCAGTTGCAGCAATGCATTCAGCTTCGGTTGAAGACAATGCAACCAATTTTTGAAGCTGAGATTTCCAGCTAATGGATGTATCATTTATAACATAAAAATATGTAGTTGTAGACTTCCTATTGTCCGGATTACCAGTAAAATCTGAATCTGCATAACCCTTAAGTCTAAGTCCATTTTTATTAGTTTTGAACATTAAACCTAAGTTACTGGTTCCTTTCAAATATTTAATCAGATTTTTCATGCATTGCCAATGTATTTCACCTGGGTTACTCATAAATCTACTTAACACACTCATAGCATAAGCAATATCAGGTCTAGAGCATACCATAACATACATTACAGATCCAACAGCATTAGAATACGGAACATTCATCATTCTTTTATGTTCTTCTTCAGTTTTAGACGATTGATCAACAGATAATTTCATACCAGCAGATAAAGGCAAGCTAATAGGCTTAGATTCATGAAGGGAAAACCTTTTTACAACCTTATCAACATAAGATTTTTATGTTAGAAACAACTTTCCATTTATTCTATCTCTTTTTATTTCCATGCCCAAAATCTTTCTAGTTGGTCCTAAATCTTTCATTTCAAATTCAAATTTCAGATTTTCTTTAATTGAGTTAAGTGCAACAGAATTATGACAAGCAAGGAGCATATCATCGACATACAAAAATAGATAGAAAAAATCAGATTCACCTTCTTTATTATAATAGAAATAGGGATCATATTCTGATTTATTGAAGTTCAAACATTGTAAAAAAGAGTCAAATCTTTTATACCACTGCCTAGGGGCCTGGTTTAGGCCATACAAGGATTTCTTTAAGTGACACACTAAGTTTTCCTTTCCTACCGCTTCAAACCCTCTTGGTTGAGTCATATGTATGGTTTCATCTAAGGAACCATACAAGAAGGCAGTTTTCACATCAAGTTATTCTAACTCCAAGTCAAATTGTGTCACTATAGCAAGTAGAACTCTAATGGATGTATATTTAACAATCGGTGAAAAGATTTCAGTGTAATCTATCCTTTCCCTTTGATTAAAGCCTTTAGCTACAAGTCTTGCCTTAAACCTTTTATCACTAGCCTTAGTCTCACCCTCTTTAATCTTATAAACTCATTTACAGTCAATCAATTTACAATCTTTTGGTTTTTCAACTAAAGTCCAGGTTTCATTTTTAAAGAGTGAGTTCATTTCATCTTCCATCGCAGCAATCCACTTAGGGGATTCTTTGGAAGAAATAGTCTCTTCATAAGAGGCAGGTTCTATGTAAAACAGATCAGATTCAGACTAATCAGATGCAAAATCAGCATATTGATACCTGAAAGGAGGTCTTATTTGCCTCCTTTCTCTGTCTCTAGCAAGCTGGTAACCCTGCAGGTCATGTGCAGGCTCCAGATACTATTCATCTTCCAATATTTCAACATCAGAGACATTTTGTGGTTCTACCTGATGTGGCTCCACCTCAAACTGAGCCTTGTCATCAGTATTTTGGCTATCAAAATTAATTTCTGTGATAATAAAGTCATCCTTTCCCAATTTTTCACCAGATTTATCACTAAGACAAGGAAAGTCATCTTCATTAAAGATAACAAATCTGCTTATTATCACCTTATAACCCCTCACATCTCTTAACCACAGTCTATAGCCTTTAACACCTTCTCCATATCCTAAGAACACACCCTTCAATGATCTAGGATCCAGTGTTGACTCAGGATGATGTGCATAAGCTGCACATCCAAAGGTTCCTAGGTGAGAATAATTTGGCATTGAACCATTCCAGATTTGTTTGGGAACTTTGTTATTTAGAGAGCTAGAAGGACATCTATTGATAAGATAACAGGCTGTTTTTACATCCTCGCCTCAAAAATTTTTTGGAAGGCTAGAACTGATTAACATACATTTGGTCCTTTTAAGAATTGTTCTATATAACCTCTCGACAACCCCATTTTGTTGTGGGGTATAGCTCACAGTTTTATGTCTCATTATCCCTTGTTTAATGCAATATTGATCAAATTCGGTATTACAAAATTCAAGCCCATTGTCAGTTCTTAAAATTTTTATCCTCTTACCAGTATGATTTTCAATAAGTACATTCCATTCTTTTAAAATTGCAAAGGTATCAAATTTAGATTTTAGTAAGAAAATCTATGTTTTCCTTGAATAGACATCAGTTGTAAGAAGATAATATCAGTAATTAGATACAGGTGCAAGTCCCCATAAATCAGAATGTATGTATTTAAGGACATCTTGGGCTTTGTGCAGCCCTACCTTAAAAGACAGTCTGACTTGTTTTCCCATGATACAATGTTCACAAAAAAGTCAATTTTTGAATACTATCATTTCCAACTGCCCCTTGATGTGATAGAGTTTTTAAATCTTTTTCACTTAAGTGGCCAAGTCTTTTATGCCATAATTCTGATTTATCGGGATGTGTGATAGAATTCACAGAATTTTTAGGTGAAATTATTTCAGCACCTATTACATAAATTCCATTGAGCTTAGGTGAACTGACAATAAGTTCTTGATTTCTTGTTATATTTGTAAAGCCATTTTTAATACCAATTTGATAATTTCATCGTTAAGAACTCCTAGGGATATGAGATTTCTTCTAAGTGTTAATACATATCTTGTATGTTTTAACAACATGTGATGACCATTTTTAAATTTCAACAGCACATTTCCAATTCCCTTCACTTGGCATAACTCATCATTCTCAAGTTTTACAAATCTTCCATCCAGACTACAAAAGTCTGAAATGCAGCCAATATTGGGTGTCATATGAAAGAAACAACCTGAATCCAGGAGCAGTCCTGTTTAGTATTTTCAGATAGAGACACATAGGCAATTCCAATATTTGCTCCTGCTTCTTTATAATTAGCAGCAACTGCTAAAGAAGCATTTTCAGTGTTAGACCAATTCTTTTGGTCATTCGCATTTTTAAAACAATCTTTAATAAAGTGGCCTTTTTTCCACAGTAAAAACATTTTCTGTTACTGTTGTTGTTTGCTTTTCCTTTAATTGGTTTCTTGCCTTTTCCTTTGGTGTTATTCCATTGCTTTTTATTAAAAATTTTATTCTTGTTAAAGTTGGAATGACTGAAGTTACTTACTCCTTTAACATATGATTTTTGATTTGATGACACAGCCTCAACATGGAACACTTCTTTGTGTTCAGATTTTAATTCAAGTTCTTTATTTAGAAGAGAACTGTGAATTATTTCAACAGTGAGATCACTCCCACCATACTCTAGAGCATTTCTTATGTCTTTATATTTATCTCCTAGAGTATTAAGCAGGCCAACTACCTTCTGTTCATCAGAAATTTTCTCATCACAGTTTGCTAAGTCTTGTGTGATCCTATTAAATCTATCCATATTATCTCCCGTGTCAAGATTATGATCAAACTTAAAACTAAAGAACTGTTTCCAAAGAAAACATTTATTTGGTATAGTCTTAGTGAGGTAGTGCTTTTCTAAAGCAGTCCACAATTCTACAGCAGTTTTAGTTTCTCCTACTTTCCTAATCACAGTATCAGATAAGTGTAGAAACAAGTTGCTTCAGGCCAGTTCATCTGGTTCAGTTTTCCTAGCTTCTGATAAGGTTTCTGGCCAAGATTCATCAATGGCCTTAGCACATTTTAACTGTAACATGAGTGCTTTTATTTCTGACGCCAGAGTTTAAAGTCTCCATTGCCATCCCAAATTTGGACATATACCTTAGAGTTCATGGTGTGCAATAGTGTGAAATTGTTCACAAGTATAATAAAACGGATATATCACAGTAGTAATTCAGTCAACGGTATGTCACAAAGATCACTGTCTTATTATTCCAATTTCAGATTATGTATAGATTGTGCTTGGGTGTGATGTGTACAGAATTATATCACACAAATTAAGACAGAGTCAATGTACAGATCACTAAGCATGCAATGGAATTCAATCACCTAAACTTACACACAGTAAGCTACCAAAAATAGTAAGTGCAATGTATGTACCTTTGAAGCAATTATTCTCAGGCAGTCCAACACCTGAGAAGATCAATTTGAGTATTAGTACAATTCACACAGAATGTACAACAATTTAACTATGGAAATATAATTTTATCCACACACAGTGAAAGATTTCAAAAAAAAAAAAGTTTTAGAAATTACAGGTTTTTTGAACCGAAGCCCTAATCCCCAAAGTTTCTAGGATTTTCTTGGGGAACCCTAGACAGAGGTAGAGTTAGAGGAGGTTCAATGAAACCCTAGATTTGAAAAAACGATTTTATTACCAAAACAATACTCCCAGAACTAAATGTACCAACAATACTAAAAAAAGTCTAATTATTCACAAATACAATGTCTGCAGACTGCATGTACCACAACACAAATAAGAAATGTCTGTGAATTTCACCAAGAAAACAGGTTAGCCTACAGCTCACAATATACTCAAAGGTTATCACTACACTGCAGAATTTATAGAATACACAATAGGCTTCATTTATTTTGTAAAAGAAGATCAACACTAACACTGCAGGAGATCAACACCTACAGTACCAAGAATTTCTGTCTAATTTTTAAAACAGCACCAACCGGAGTTAAGAGAACTTCCAAAACCAACCAAGAAGCTTCGGTTACACTAATACTGCAGAGTTGAAAAAGGCACACCCAACAGTGCCTAGAAAAATTTCAGTATTACTCGAGGGAGAAAAGAGAAAAATAAAAAATATTGGCAGATCTTTTAAGACCTGCCATTTTCCTTTCGTCCGGCGACTCGAGTTTCAAACCCTCGACTAAAGGGGACTGAAACAAAAAAAAAAAAAAAAATTTTCCAAGCTCTGATACCACTGTAGGTACCTAGGAACATTTAAAAACATCGAAAAATTGCAAAGCTAAAATCAAGATTTGTAGATCTGAACGAAACAGTAAAGAACACAAACGATTTTTCTACCGAAGTCTCAAGGTTCAGCGATTGGTTAGATCGCCTAGTCCCCGTTGAGCATCCATGAAGGAATAAGCTCGAATCCACTAAATCACCGGCCTAAAATACAGCAGTTTTTCGAGTTACAAACGGAACACATAGTTCCAGCCACAGCAACAACAAAATCCCCTCAACAACACAATGAACTCACACAAGAGTTCATTAGATCACACTTTCTCTCAACCAACAATAGAAGATCGACAAGATCTAAGAGGAGAGAACCAAAAATTACAGAGAGAATTTCTAAACTCAAAAGAAGCTGCGCGTAAAATGAAAAGGCCCCAAACCCTAGACTTTTCAGCTTCTTTTATATGGGAGAAGCTAATTGTTTTATCTAATGGTCCAGCAGTCGCCACATGTCGAAATCCGGTGAAAGTTGTTATTATACAACAGAAAAATGCGTTTTGTTTTAATTTAATTTCAGCTTCCAGATTCTTCTATCTTCTGGGCCATTAAACCGGGTCATGGGTTGGGTATTTCAACTTGGGCTTCACAAAGAACAGCAACCCAATTTCTACATGTAGAGAGAGAGAGAGAAAGATGGGGTTGGGAGAGAGAACAAGGTGGGGGAGAGAGAAAAGGAGGCGACTATGGTTACATAGAAAGAGAAAGAAGAGATTGNNNAAAAAAAACCATAATTATATAAAATTTACCATAGTTGATGAGTAAACATGTCGATTAACCATATTTTCATACACGATCTAAGAAAAAAATTATTGACTTATCAAATTGTTAAGGGTTACCATGGGTATAGTTCCAGTAGATGACCGAACCAACAGTTCCCCACTGTCCATCGTGCAAATCACATTTCTGAATGTTGGCAGGGCTCATGCCTGATATATGATGAGGTCTCTCTCTAAATATTTCATGGAAAACATCTCCATCTGACTTAATAGCTATTTGAGAAACCAATTTTCCCATTATTGTCTTTCCCACAAATATTAGTAAAGAAACTAAGATAGAGTGATATGCATGGATACTAAGGTCTTTATATAGCTGTAATTTGTCCAGTATTGCTTGTTGATAATATTAAATATAAATTCAGGCAGATGGTGATGCGATCGAGTATTTGATAATTAACTACGTCCCAAACCACTACCCATCTACACATAATTTCGACGAAAATAAATAATGTACAAGTTGCCAAATAATTAGAGAATTGTTTAAAGAATATGCCATTTTCTAGACATCTCGTGATGGTTCTATAGTTGGTGTCTAAGAGTCGAGGTGAATGTGGGATAATTTGCAAGTGCTATAGGTTTTATTTCCGGTGTCTAAGTCAAGGTGATTGTGATACATTTGCAAATGCTACGAGTTTTATATACCGCGGACCTTAATTTCATACGCTTTCTGTATACAACTTAATTCATCCCGATCACTACAGATATGAAGCGAATCAAGAATATTTAGAGGTGAATGTGGGATAAATTGCAGCACATTTGCAAGTGCTAAGTGTCGTTCTATTTTCGTATCCAAGTCGAGGTGAATGTTTGATACATTTCAATAAATTTGTAATTGCTAGGGTATATTGCTAAATCTCAAAAGGGTCGATTCTTACCGACCTCTCAATATTATTGTACGATCAATGATTTGTATTTGAATTTCTTGAAATTATTAATTGGAACCTAAACACTTTGTTCCAATATTCAATATAAATTAAATTTAATTTTATTTAGTGTTAATATTCTTGACGTTATAGCCTACTCATTATTATTTTCAACAAGTATCAACATAATTTAATAAAATAGTCCATTTATATAAAATTAATAGGAGATTTGTCCCATCTTAGGGAATAGGGTGCCTAAGTACTATGTTGGAATCTTTTCTATGGTTTATTGACATATTACAGGGACCAAAGCGTCCTCAAATCAAAGAAATTATTGAAATGCATAAAAAGAAAAAGAAAAATCCTCATCTAGCCTTATGTTCTATTCTCTTTATGTTCGTGATATAAAGAAATATATCCATGCAAATATGTATTGGTTTATTTAATCGTATGGAGATGGATGAATCCCACAAGATTGTTTGAACGATATCCTTCAACTTCTTTAATGCGTCGTACCACTCTAAACTTGATCTATCTATCATTATTTATCTAATTAGTATAAGTCGAATAATTAGATTCATGTCCATTTTTAAGAGATAAAATTATTTTAATCAAGTAGATGCGTCTCTTGAGTCTTATCATACTCGTAAATTTAAAATCAAGCTCATTATACAAAGAATATGTTATTGAGTTTCACTGGAGTTGAAAATGACTCATTTAATTACACATTCATTTAGTCTATCGTCTCACACCACCTAAATTACGATTGCGACTACGTAACATTACTCTTATACAAATAAAATAGAAAATGATTACTTCCATCAATTGATTATGACCATAACGAGGTGAACTCGTAACGGTGAATGAGTTAAGATCGAATTTTTAATTACTCAACAAAGAAATTATTTTGGGGCAAATAAAATGAATTTGGGTCCCACCATATCACATGAAACACGTCCATTATTAAAAATGAATTTGGATCCCACCATATCACGTGAAACTCGTCCATTATTTTTCCATCAATTTAAGATTACGTTATTAATTAGTTAGCCGGTTCAATGAATGAAGAATTAACTTATTTATTTAATTATACTTCTTATTTAATGCTACATTAATATCAC